GAAGAAGAAGAAGAAGAAGAAGAAGAAGAAGAAGAAGAAGAAGAAGAAGAAGAAGAAGAAGAAGAAGTTGTTAAAATAGGGAATAGGGCTGGGAAGTTCCAGGACAACAAGGGCCATTCAGAGAAATCCTGTCACAAACAAACAAACAAACAAACAGGGCTGGGCATGCAAGCCAGTTGGTGGAGTGCTTGCTGATCATTCATGAGGCTCTGCATTTCATTCCCGTCACTGTGTAAACCAAGTATGGTGGCTCATACCTGTGATCCCAGCACTTGGCAGATGCAGGCAGGAAGATCAGAGGTTTAAGGTTATCCCCAGCTGCATAGTGAGTTCAAGGCCAGTGTGAGCAACATGAGACCCTGTGTCAAAAAATAAGTTAAAATAAGCGGAAATATAAGAGACAGCGTACTGGAGCAGAAAAGCTCTTTTTAGGAAGCCCTTTCCCTTTAAACAGTTCAGGACTAACCTTGCCTTTTTGGCACATGGCCTGAGATGGTGTGTTCTAGCACATTCTGATGGCTCCTCTCTTTGCTTCCTCAGACTACGGCATTTCCGCCCCAGAGCCTCTGGAGCAGCAGTACCGATTGTACTCCCGGGAGCTGGGCGAGGGCACGCTGGACCACCTGCTGCTGCAGCTCTCAGTGATGTCCAGCTCACTCCAAGTGAGTCCCCTCTGCCCACCGCTGGCTGAGGCCATGGTCAGCTACATGCCAGTGTGCTCTGATGTAGGCCAGCGTGTGCCCGTCTGTGTTGGACAGCAAGGAAACGGGGAAGGGACTAGGGATGTATCCTTACAGCCACATACCAGGGATCCAGATTTGGTTCCAGGTGGAGCGAGTACTGAGCCTCAGGCATAAGCAGACGGGGTCCAGGCCAAGGGGATGGGCTGGGAGATGGGTCAGTCGGCACAGTGCTTACTGTGCAAGCATGAGGACCAAGCCCCGGGACACGCTTAAAAAGAGCTGAGTGAGGCAGGACACGTCTGCCTCAGTGCTGGAGAGGCAGAAACAGGTGGATCCCTGGGATGCAGTGAGCGGCCATTCTTGCTGAATTGATGAGTCCCAGGTTCCGTGAGAGCCCCTGTTTCTTTGTGAGTAAAACACGCAAAGCTTGCTTCTGCCCCATTAACTTTTTGTTGGTTCTTTGTGAGTTTCACATCATGTGCCCCGATCCCACTCATCTCCCCCTCCCCTTCGTACCTGTCTTCCAACTTTGCAACCTCCCCACCGACAGAGAAAAAAAAAAAATCTCGTTGTGGAAGCTGTAGTGTGTCACAGTGTGTCCCACAGAATTCCCTTCTGTCCACACTTCTTTCCTTGTAAATGTTCGTTGCAATGACTCTTCGGTCTGGTATGAGGCCCCTGTCTTCTGCTGCTCTATCAATACTGGAACCTCACTGGACTCCTCTCGGAGATCCTGCTGTTGCCCTGTGTCACGGAGATCCTGCAGCCTTGGATCTGTAGGACTGGCCCCTTCATGCTCTCCAGCAGTTCAGGGATGGGTTAGATGTTGGGATGGGTTAAATCAAAGCCCTGGATCTGGGCCTGAGAGGCATCTGAGCTGGTCAGCCAGCTGGCTCTCCTGCTCTCCTGCTCTTGGGGGCCAGCTCACCACCCACCGACCCACCCTCACAGCCATCCCCACAACCAGGGCCAGCTCTACCTTGCTGCCCAGGTGAGGTGCAGGGCCAACAATGAGGGACGTGACCAGTTCTTCTACTTTCATGATCCAGGGTCAGCTCTTCCATTTGCCAAAGATGGTGAGGATGAGGAAGGAGAGGAGGGTGTTTCTCCCTCATCTGTGCCACCACACAGCAGAGGCAGGGCCTGCTCTCCTGCCTGCTGTAGGTGGCAAGGGGCAAGGTGGGGGCATTTTTACCTTACCCATGTCACCACGTGACAGACAAGTGGTGGAGCTAGATCTCCCAAGCTCACACCCTTGGTGTCAGTTCAACCGCATCACCGGGATCAGTGCTACTGTGCTGCCCAGGCAAGGTGCAGGGTCTACTCTCCCAAGCAGTTCAGCTGGTGAGGGGCAGGGCCAGCTCTCCCGCTCTCATGACTTCAGGGCCAGGTTTCCTGCCTGCCAAACTTGATGAGGGATCTCCCCCTCCTCCACACCGCAGCATGGGAGATGAGTGGGAGGGCCAGCTCGCCCACGCTCGTATCCTCGGGCTGGCTCACCCACAACTCTTGCAATGTGTGGGCAGCTCTCCCAAGCATTGCAGTTGGCTAAGGGCGGAGCCAGCTCTCCTGCTTTTATGACCCCAGAGCAAGCTATCCCACAAAGCTCAGGAGAGGGTGAGACCAGTCCAGCACAGCCCTCAGACATTGCCATATCCCTGGGTGGCAGCCCAGGCCAGGGACATCGCCTGGCCTGGTAACAGACCCCTGCTGCTGAAGGGCCACGGACCCAGACATGGCCCCTGGTGGCAGCCCAGGCCAGGGCTCCACCCTGCTCCCGGGTGGCATCAATACCTACTCACATCAGGCTGTTCCTCACTACCCTCGGGTCTCCACTTCTGCCTCTCTTCATTGCGTCCACATCCTTCTGTTTCTCTTCCTCTTCCATTTCTCCAGCACTTGCTTGCTCTTCGTAGTGGTGCCTGGGGCCTCTGAGTGTCTGGGGCCATCTCAGGAGTGGTCTCAAGAGTGCTCTGCCCTGCTCATGCATTATGGTACCAGGCACGACCTGCCCCCCTTTCTTCCAAGGCTTCCCAAGGCCTTCAGGACCACAGCAGGGAATGTACTTGCCCAAGACATCCTAAAGCTCTGCTGGTTTTTTCTCCCTTTCCATTGGCCCCAGCAACGAGGGATCAGTTTGTTGTTCTTGTTGCTTTGTGATGCTAGAGATGAAACCCAAGGTCTTGTGATACTAAATAAGCATTCTACCACTGAACCATACCCCAGGAGGGGGATTCTAGGCAGGGGCTCTACCACTGAGCCACACCCAGCCCCTCACTGGGGGATTCTAGGCAGGCACTTTGCCATGAACCTAATCCCCAGTGGGTTTTGTTGTTGTTTAGGTTTATTTTTTACGTGTGTGTGACCCCAGTGTTGGTAAGGATTGTGAGCTGCCAGATATGGCAGCTGTGAAGCAGACGCGGTGCTCTGCAAGAGCAGCAAGTGCTCTTGACCATTAGCCACTTCTCCAGCCCCTACACTCCACGTCCACATGTCTGGGTTTGTGCCCATGTCTTTTCCGATCTGCAGTCCATCACGAGATCTGTTTTCTTTAGCCACCACATCCCAATCTCTTCAATCTGGAAGGGTCTGTAACTTCTTGCCTCCCATGCCTGACACTTGGGGGTGCTACTGGGCTACTCTGCAGAATATCCCTTACCGGGGGCTCATGAGGAGAATTACATACGGTGGGCAGAGAACCCTGAGCCCGTTCACCTTTACTTCCGGGAGAGGGCAGTGCCTGCTGGTCTTTTTCTATAAGTGGTGCATGCACGTGTGTAACTCAGAATGCTGAGGATGAAACTCAGAGCCTTGTGCGTGGCTCTACCGTTGCGCCCCACCCCCAGCCCTACTGTTTTTTTGGAAGGACCATCTTTGGCACACGGAGACCACGCCGAGTGTGGTGAAATTCTTTGCTCAGTACACTGGGGTCTGGGCTCTGGTTCTCGGCGTGCAGCAGCGTCTCACAGCACAGGGTCTCCTCGCCTACCCCTGCCGTCAACTTCAAGCAGATGCTCTGTGTGCGGGAGCAGCCTCTGAGGTTCTCACCGGTGTGGCTAAGTGGACCCGTGGGAGGAGACCATTGACACACTTACCGCAGTGAGCCTTTAGCCCCGTTCTCTCTGGTGGTGTCACACGTTCTGGCCCTTGCTCGTGACAGGTGTGCTGATTTCTCAGTGTCTGTGGGTGTCAATGCCATACCTCATGGGTTGCTCCAGGCTCATGGACAGGCCTTGCTAAGCCACCAGCTGGACCTGCAGAATTGGTTTTCCTTTTTTGGTGTGTATAATGTATGTGTTTAAGTGTGTGAGACCTGGCCAGTGAGCCACTGGGCCCCACCTGTTCCCCCCTCTCCAGAGCTGGGATTACAAGTGTGAGCCACCCTGCCTGGCATTTTTTTCTTTTCCCATCTTTTTTTTCTTCATGTGTACAGATGTATGATCTGCATGCACGTGTGAATGTGTGTTCACATGTAAGCGAGGGTACACAGGAGTGTGTGTGTGGAGGCCGCAGGTTGACACTGGTGTTTCCTGGTTTGGTCTCCACTTTATCTATGTCAATTGTGAACCCAAGCTTGACATGAGAGCAAGGCTAGGTAGCCAGCGAGCGCTGGGCATCTCTGGCCTCTGCCTCCCCAGCACGGGGAGTATACGTGTGCCACCACACTCACCCGGTGTTCATGTAGGTGGCAAGCCAAACTCAGGTCCTCACGCATTCGTGGCGGAAGCTGTCTACTGAGCCATCTCCCGAGCTGCTTTGCCAGCTTTTTTAAAAAAACATGGTTTCTGGAGGTCACTCAGGTCCTGGGCTTTCAGGCAAGCGCTTTACTGGCTGAGCCAACTTTCCATCCGCCCCCTTTCTCCTTGCTCTTCTTCTTGCTCCTCCTCCTGCAGCTGCCCTGATTTCGTCTCTGTTGCCACGATAAAATGCTGGAACATACACACTTGTAAGGGAGGAAGGGTTTGTTGGGGGCTGTTCCAGGATGTGGTCCATCACTGCTAAGGCGGAAACTTGAACTAGTCACACCTACGATCAAGAGTGAAATGGGAACGCACGCTGCTCCGGGTACTCAGTTCACTTGCTCCTGCTCACAGTCCAGGACCCAAGCCTAGGGAATGGCGCTGCCCATTTCAAAACTGTGTCTTCCCACATCCATTAGTGTAATCAAGGCAATCCCCAAGGCCCTCCTCATCAGATAGACCCTCACTTGATACTGTCTTTCCAGGTGATTGTAAACTGTGTCTGGCCAGCGACTCAAAGCGACCATCACGGTATCTCCCGTCTCTGTGTGTGTGTGTGTATGTGTATGTATCATTGTTTTTAGGGGGCAGCCCTGAGGAGTGAACTGAGGACCTCATAGTCTGACTATTTCTAATCTTGTCAGTCTTGAGATGGGCTCTCAGTAATGTAGCCTAGGCTTGTCTGGAACTCACTGCATAGACCAAGATTACCTCAGATTCATAGAGATCCCCCTGGCTCTGCCTCCCCGAGAGCTGGGATTGAAGGATTTCCATGACAATAAACAAATCACACCACTGTGAAGCCATTTACATCTTCTAGAACCTCATCTTTCTCACAAATCCAACTTCTCTGCTTACTGAACAGTCTCTCCTCTTCCTCTCTAGTTCCTGGGACACTGTCATACTGTAGCCAGCAGTGTGGCTGTTCTAGGAACAGCCTGTGAATGAGAAGGGAGCTCCCTTCTTCCCATGACAGAAACAGGTTAAGCAGAGCAGGCTGGTGGTCCCTGGCTCACGGCTTCCTCTGAGGCCTGGTGGAGGGGGTACACCTGCTTTCCCATGGTCCCTTAGAGACCTTCAGCTCGGTGGCACTGTGTCCTGTGCCCGATGTCCTGACTCTTCTCCTCTCCTTCCAGGATGGCCCCGTCATGACCGTGTCACCCCCACCACCTGAGGGGACCAGTGCAGAACCTCTGGCTGACAGGAGGGACCTCCCATGGGGTACCACACTTGAGCTGCCTCAGATGCTCCTAGAGAGAGACAGGTGGGCAGGGGACTTGGGCAAGAGCCAAGGAGACAGGTCCTGGGTGAGGCCTGGGCCGTAGTCCTCAGGGACACATAAGCAGGGGCGTTGGAGCCCAGGCCCCTCCCCCAGGATCTGTCTCATATCCTCCTCCTGAGCGTGTCTTAAATGAGCGAGGTAGATCAGTGAGGGAAGGGCTTGCTTTGCAAGTACCTTGACCTGCAGAAAATAAGCGGGGAAGAGGCCTGTGCACATTGTCACCCCGAGCTGAGGAGGTGGAGGCAGGCGCCTTGGTGTTCAGGGCACAGGCAGCCTCACCTGCTTGGCGAGTTCCAGGCTCCATTTCAAAAAAGTCAGGTGAACAGTGCCTGGAAAGTGGCAATTGGTGTTGTCCTCTGACCTTCATGGGCCGGAGAACACATGTGTGCCTCCCCACGCACGTACGCAGACATATGCACCCATGCACACGTATATACATACTTACAGAATAGTAAACTCATCGAGGGAGGCCCTGGCTCCATGGAACAGAGGTGAGGCTCGGGAGTTGGAGGAGTCTGAAGCCGGAGTGGCCTTTTATTTCCTGGGTGTTTCTGTCTTGAGTGTGCTCGGCTCCACTTAGACCTGCCCGCCGTTCCTTCCTGCCCTTCCTCCTCTGTTCTCTTTTTCTGTGGTGCTTTCCAGCAGAGGAAGAGTCACACCAGTAAGGAAAGTGCCCATAGGCTCTGTCTGCAGGTTTGGTCGTTCTCATCTGACTCTCTTGTTGCCCAGGCTGCCAAAACAAAATACCACCCTCTGGGTTAAGCATATGCAGCTTAAGTAACACGGAATTGTCTCACAGTTGTGGAGGCTGGAGCTCCAATCAGTCTGCCAGAGGCACGAGGGGACCTGTTGAGGGTAGAAGATGGCTGCCTTCTTGCTATGTCTTCACATGCTGTGGTGGCGTCTTCAACTTTTTTTTTTTTTTTGACAGGGTTTTTCTGGGTGTCCTAGAACTAGCTCTGTAGACCAGGTTCTCCTTGAACTCAGAGATCTGTCTGTACCTCCCAAGTGCTGGGATTAAAGGTCTGAGCCATCTGCTCAGCCTTCAACATCTTTTAATTTTTTTATAGGGTTTTTCTGTGTAGCCCTGGCTGTCCTAGAACTAGCTTTGTAGACCAGACTATCCTTTAACTCAGAGAGCTGTCTGCCTCTGCCTCCGAACTGCTGGGATCAAAAGCCTGCACTATCTGCTCGGCCTTTAGCATGTCCAGTTTACACCAGTGTAGCCCAGGGCTTTGTGCTTGCTGGGGACACGGTACTAACGGGATGCAACCACAGCCTTTTCCCCCTTGCCATAGTTAGGGACTGAAGCCGGCCAGGCTCCAGTGTTTCACCAGAGGACTCTAGACAATGCCCTGTCATGGATACATAATCCTGGTCCCTCACTGGGGGATTCTAGGTAGGAGTTCCTGCTGAGCCACAGTTTGAGGGTGCCCCTTCATTATGGTGAAGTCATGGATTCCATGGTTGAGAAGCAGAGAGGTGAATGCTGGGGCCCAGCTCACTTTCTCCTGTTTATTTCATCCAGGACTCCCCACTGGATGGTATCATTCAGGTTTAGGTGGGTGTTCCTACCTCAGTTAACCCAGTCTAGATAACCCTTCACAGACACGCCTAGAGATTCATTTACGTGGCCATTCTGCGTCCCATTAACTTCATAACCAAGACTGAACAGCACAGCTGGGTATCTCCCCCTTATAGCAAGGGCAGGGCCCAGCACTCTACAAACCTGTGCTGCCCCCTGGTTACCCAGAGCTGCAAGCAGCGTAGCTGAGGCAGCATGGTCCCAGCCACAGCCACAGAGCTGAGGCTAGCATCTTGCCCAATGCGAGGACCACAGTGTTCTGGGCTGGAACAGCAGCTGAAGCTGAATCCTAGTGCCCAGGCTGTGACAAAGGACCCGGGGCTCCAGAATGTCTCCCGTTTCACCCACAGTGATGGGAACAGGTCTTCAAAAAGCACCCCCTTGCGGAGGCTTGGAAAGCAAGACTCTCTTCTCCCTCCACCGGCCCTCCGCATCCTGCTGACACCTCCCATGCTTGAGGTTGGTATGGGGTCTGGCTACAGGGAGGGCCCTTCCCAGCTAGACTACACGGGGAGGGCTTCTGGGGTCCCACCGTGACTGAGGGTGCCCTGTGCTCTTCTTTCACAGAAGCCGAATGCTCTAGGCACAAAGAGCCGAGGCTCCAGGCTGCAGTCCACAGCTGGCTTGGAGCTGAGAACCCCACAGGCAGCAGGAGAAATGAGCAGCCCCCCTCTGAGTGCCCAGGCCCTCAAGGAGATGGCCCTGGGAACCAAGAGCATCGCTCTCATAGCAGCCAACCGACGCTACAAGGTGTACGACAAAGAGGGCAGCTGCTTGGACTCCAGGGACCCCAGCCCTGCAGACTGGAGGCGGCCCCAGCCCAGCCCCAGCAGGGACCACTCTCTGGAGAGGAAGGCAGGGAGGAAGCGGTCACCCTCACTCACCTGGAGCCTGCAACAGGTACGGAGATGTCTGTCAGGTTGCTGGGGTGTGGCTGGGACCGCAGAAGGTGAGGGCAGGGAGGGCAGAGGGACACTCATACTGCCACACGTGTTCAGGGTCCCTGTAGTTGAGGTAGAAGAAAAGTGCCCACCCCAAACCAATCCTCTCCAGGGCCTGGGCCAGCACATGACCCAAAGCACAGTGTCCACTTGCGTTTTGTGCAGTTATAACCCTAGAAATTCAGGTCTGTGACCTGATAATTTTCATGTACCAAGTCAGTATTAAGTACCTTCCTTCCTTCTTTCTTTCCTTTCTTTTTTTTATTTTGAGGCCAGCCTGGGCCTGCATCCAAAAAACAAAAACTAAAAATCAAGAAAAAAAAAAAGCAAGTGATCAGCTGATTTGTTCAATATAAAGGAAGGGAGGTAGCAGAAGAGAGAGAGAGAGAGAGAGAGAGAGGAGAAGAGAGCTTCTGCTTTTAGTCATGAAGACAGGAAGAACCCAATGTCCCAGCTAAAAAATGGGGGAGTTGATTCTCTTACTTGGGGTGTATCTGCTTTACTGTCCCACTCAGGCCTTCACCTGATTGGATAAAGTCCACTCACGTAAAGAAGGGAGGGCTAACCATGTGTCACACACTCCTGAAAGCCGTCTTAGTTAGGGCTTCTTTCATCCTTTCTTCCTTCTTTCCTTCCTCCCTTCCTCTTTTCTTCTTTCCTTCTTTCTTTTCTTTCTTCTTTCGTTCCTTCCTTCGTTCCTTCCTTCCTTCGAGCATTGGTGTTTTGCCTGTATGCATGTGTGTGTGAGAGGGTGTCAGATCTTGGAGTTGCACACAGTTGTGAGCTGCCATGGGGGTGCTGGGGTTTGATTCTGGTCCTCTGCAAGAGCAATCAGTGCCTTTTACTGATGAGCCATCTCTCCAGCCCCTTAGGGTTTCTATTGCTGTGAAGAGACACCACAGCCAGGGCAACTCTTATAGAGGCAAACATTTAATTGGGGCTGGCTTAAAGTTTCAGAGGTTCAGTCCGTTATCATCATGGCAGAAAGCATGGCAGTATACAAGCAGACATGGTGCAGGAGAAGGAGCTGAGAGTTCTACATCTTGGTCCATAGGCAGCAGAAGGAGACTGTGTGCCACACACTGGCTTTAGCTTGAGCATAAGAGACTTCAAAGCCTGCCCCCACAGTGACACACTTCCTCCAACAAAGCCATACCCACTCCAACACGGCCACACCCACTCAACAAGGCCACACCTACTCCAACAAGGCCACACCTACTCCAGCAAGCCCATCCCCTATGGGCCAAGCATTCAAACACATGAATCTAAGAAGGGCATCCCTATTCAAACCATCATTCTCTGAGAGAGAGGAGAGAGAGAGGGAGTGAGAGGAAGAGAGAGAGAGGGAGAGAGACAAGGAGAGAAAGAGAAGGGAGAGAGGAGAGAGAGGGGGAGAGATAGAGGGAGAGGGAGAGAGGGAGGGAGAGAGGGAGAAAGAGATGAAGGGAAAGAGGAAGAGAAGAGGAAAGGAGGAGGAGTCAGACTTATCCATCCACTTGCTCATATACTCGGTGGGTTCAGCGATTTTGCTATTCTGGCACACAGTAGATGTTAATAGAAATGACCTCAGCATCCTCATACTCTGTCCTTTCTTGTACCTTTTCCAAACTGCAGACGATGGAGAAACATCAGCCCTCTATGGAACACCCATCCGAGGTCCAGCTGTCCCCAGCACACCTCCAGCCACCAAAGCCACCAGGGAAGAGCCTTTTCCCTGCTGTCCCTGTGTCCTCCAAGATGAAACCCAGCCTCAGCTGTCACGCAGGTACAGGTCAAAGAAAGACAAATAAGGTTTTCTGTATCTCAAGCCATCCAAGCTAAAGACTGGGGACAGTCTGGGCTGTCACCCCTTGTCTGTGCTTTTCATGTGAGTTTTGGCTTTTGTTTTTCTTTCTATCTTTTTTTCCTTTCTTTTTTTTTTTTTTTTTTTTTGGTTTTTCAAGACAGGGTTTCTCTGTGTGGCCTTGGCTGTCCTGGACTCCACTCTAGACCAGGCTGGCCTCAAAATCACAGAGATCTGCCTGCCTCTGGGTCCCTGAGTGCTGGGATCACAGGTATGCGCCTGGCCAGCTTTTGCTTTTATTTTGCTTAATTGACTGTTGGGTGGATGGGCCAGAGACCTGGAAAGCTAAGGTCCCTTTGACCATCTCCTCATATCTGGATGCTGAGTTCTTATCTGTCTAGATGTAAGCTGGTTGGGATGGATTTGAGTTGGTAGTGTTTGTCCAGCATGGAGCCCTAGGTTCCATTCCCACCAACACAGAGGGTGGTGATCTCAGTGCTTGGTAGGTGGAGACAGATCAGAGGCTTAAGGTTTTCCTTAGCTACATAGTGACTTTGAAGCTAGCCTGGTCTATGTGAGACCCTGACTTAAATAAAACAGAAAACCTTCTGTTTTGTTTTGTTTTGTTTAGACAGGGTCTCCCTAGCTGGCCTGGAACTTGCTTTGTAGACCAGGCTGTACCTGAAATCAAACTCACAGAGATCCACCTGCGTCTGCCTCCAGAGTGCTGGGACTAAAGGCATGCGCCAGAGTGCACCATCACGCCTGGCCCGAAACTTTTTTTTTATTTTGTTTTGACAAATGTTTTGCTAGGTAGCCTAAATTGTTCTTATGATTGCCCTCCTCCTGCCTCAGCTTCCTGAGGTCTGGGATTGCAGGCATCACTGTCCTGTTTAGTTATGTGGATTTCTGTGATCACAATCAGTTTAAAAGTGCCACACAAGCTTGAGCAAGCATGGAGAAGCCCAGCGCTGCAATGTGCACCTGCAGCCCCAGTCACAGGGGCTGAGACACGAATCTAGCCAGAGCTGAGAGCTCCGGTTCAGGGAGAGAACAAGTCTCAAAAAGAAAGAAGGCTGTGAGTAGTGGCGCACACCTTCAGTCCCAGGCAGTGGCCGGCAGATGTCTATGAGCTCAGAGCCCAGCCTGGTCTAGTGAGTTTCAGGTCAGCCATGGCTACTTACTGAGAGATCCTGTCTCAAAAGCAAACAACAAAGGACCTCAGTGATGGAGGAAGACATCAGTATTGATCTCTGGCTTCCGCATCCATGCAAACCCACACTCACACGCATGCTCAGTGCTCCTTCAAGAATTAAACTCTGAGCCTGTGATCCCAGCACTCAGGAGGCTCACAAAGAAGGATCATGAGTAGGCCAGCCTGGGCTATATAGTAAGACCCTGTCTCCACAGCAAGCGATCGCTGGCAGGGTGACACATTCCTGTTCTGCCAACTCTTGGGAAGCTGTGGTAGGGGGTGTTGAGTTTGAAGCCAAGCCAGACTACTTAGCAATATAATTTCTCCAAATGGACCTCCTTCTCTTCCTAGTCCTCCTTGTCCTCTTCTCCGCCCCATCCTCCATTCTCTCTCAGCCTCCTGTGGAGCCAAAAGAAGATACTGAGGAAGGAGCCTCATCTCTTTCCCACTTCTTCATTTGGTCTCGAGGCTTGGTAGGTACGAATAACACTTCCCGTTGCCCATGTCTCCTTCAGATGGAAACACGCTTCATGTGCCAGAGGTCAGCCTCACCTTCCCCAGTGCCATGTGGCAGAGCAACGTGGCCCCAAGCCGGCCTCCCCTCCTGCCACGTGACATCCGAGGTCAGTGGCTGAACTCTGACCCTGTGCCCCCCGACCCCCATCCCCACCCCGCTGGCATCTTGGACACTCGGGTTCCCTCTGGGGGAGAATCAGGAAGGGGCGGCAGTCTCCCACTCTCCAGGCCTCCATCACTCGTAAACTATATACTTAGCCCATCCAGGGGGTAGTAATGCTCTCGGAAGACAGGGGCTCGAGGTGACCCTGGTGGTGAGTGGGCAGCCAGGACTGGAAGCTGAGCTCTCTGTCTCCCTGGCCCAGCTCGTTGGGCTGGTTGGGAGGAGACATTGGGGATCAGGTGGCTCTCCAGGCTGTCCTTGTCCTAGCAATAGTTCCTCGGCATCGTCGATGGAGCACTCAGGAGGCTAACACAGAAGGATCATGTGCTGAGGGGGGGGGGGTTAAAGGGCCCTCTCAAACAGTTCCCCTCACTTTGAGTGAGCTGTCTAGTCCTGAGTGCCTGGCTGGAGGCAGAGGGTCAAGAATCAAGGTGGGCAGGAGAGGGTGGATGAGTCGAGGAGGTCAGCAAGCCGCAGGGCTTTAGGGGGTGTAGCTGGCAATGGGATGCTGGTAGAACAGGCACCCTGCTCAGCACCACCAATGAGTGACAGGGCTCTGTCCTGGCGAGGGGGCACCAAGGCACCCACTCGAACCCACTGCATACGATGGCCCAGGTTCTCTTGAAAAGTATTCTTCCTGGGGCTGGGGAATGGCCAGCTCTGCCTGTGCTTGCCTTGCAAGTATGGAGACCTGAGACAAAACTCCTGAAATCCACACGAAAAAAGCCCAGCGTGGTGGTGTGTGCTTGTAATCCTACGTCTGCGAGGGCAGAGATGGGAGATCCCCAGGGCTCACCACCCAGCCAGCCTAGGGCCCAGGGAACAACATCTGAGCTCTCTGAGTGCTCTCTGACCTCTACATAAATGTTTGCTGTCATGCAGACACATCTGCACACACCAGCACACACATCACACATGCAAGTATTGTTATTTCTGCATAACTTTAGCTCCAGTCTATGACCAAGGATAGCACCTTCCCCAGGCACGTATATAGTCGCTATGTAGACCAGGCTGGCCTGGAACTCACGATGGTCCCCGAAGTATATGGAACGACAATCCTGGGTCACTTCACCCCACCCCCACCCCACTCACCCCCGGCTCACCCCCGGCTCACCCCCGGCTCACCCTGGCTTATTCCCTCCAAGCCAACTCTGTTTTGGTTTGCTTAACTGAGAAAGATCCCAGCTGGAGCCCCTCACACAACAGGAAACACCCACTCTGCAGGAGGACAGCCAGGCCCGGGGGTCACAGTGTGTCCCTCCTCTTCCTTCCCATCCGGCCTCACCTGTGTTCTTAACTTGAACTGAGAGTGACTCTGACTTCCTCTGCATTAGTAAACTCCAGCTATGAGGTTGGCTGCGTTAGTGTCCATGTCCATGCAATCGCCATCTCAAACAGAGAAGCCAGAGCTACCCTGATTCCCTCCTGGGGATGACAAGCTTCCTCTGGCATCCGAAGTGCTATATTGTCACCCCCTGAGCCACCTGACAACCAAGCCAACATTCCTGGGCTGTTGGACTACCAGGATTTTGAGGGTTAGGGGGAAGTGGGAGGTCCTTCCTGCTGCTGCTGCTGCTGCTGCTGGTGTGTGTGTGTGGGGGGGGGATTAAAGGACTCTGGGGGAAGGGGTCTTCCAGGTGCTGACTGGTCAGCCAAGCATGCTGGGTGACAGCCTGTTTAATAGCGTATCTTTGAGTGTGGGGAACAGGGAAGTTCCACACAGGTCTCCATCCTTGTTGCATTTGGCCAGAGCTGCTTACGTTATCAAAGAGGGTCCCGAGTGACCTTGGAGCAGGGAAGACACATCAGCCTGCAGGTTGATGAGGAAAGCTTTCAGGGTCACACATGATAGCTGGAAGAGGACTCTGGTATTGATGAAGTCAGCTGTGTGTCCCAAATGTGTGTGTGCGTGAGTGTGTGTGTGTAAGTGCTGTGTGTGGAGTATTGACTTCATCTGGGTTGTCCTGGCCACAGACTACAGTCTCCCATCTACCCCAGGGTCTACAGAGAGCAGAGGGCGGCGTCACAGCCCACTGCCCCCCAACAATGCCTCCAAGCTCCAGGGTGGCAGTGCCAAGAGGCCAAGGCGACCTAAGTAGATGGCGGCAGAAGACAGCCGCCTGCAAGGCCGAGAGTCTGGTGGAGCCCAACACTGGACCAGAGATGGAGAGTGAGTGGTACAGGACACTGGGCTCACCCCACATGGCTAAGGACCTGCCAAGATCCCACGTTGACCTTGGGCCTTTCTTGGGTCACTATGGATGCCCCTGGGGCCATTCCCTGGACCCAGATTCTGATGACGGCAGCCCGTGGCTCACACTTGGGCTGCGCAGGTCCCCGGAGGAGGCCTGAGCAGCCTCACACAGAGTGGAAGAATGTGTCTTCCTTGCTGCCAACCTCTCAACACTCTGCGAGTGGTCATCCGGGGAAGCCAGCACCAAGGAGGACAGGGTGGTTTTTTCCTGGTCCCTGGTTCTCCTGCCAAGCTCCCACAAGCTTCCTAAGCCCCCAGCCATGCTGAGAAGTGAGCTGCTGAGGAGAGGCAAGAGGGGACAGCTGGGGCTCTCGAGGAGCGTGTGCTCTGCTTTTCCTGGACACCTGAATGGGGTAGACGCAAGGAGCCTAGGAATTTGGGTCTGTTGTTTGTTTTTTTGCTTGAGGCCAGGTTTCATGTAGCTCAGGCTGGCCTTGAACTTGCAGTGTAGCTGAGGATGACCTTGAAATCTTGATCCTTCTGCCTTCCTCTCTCAATTTCTGAGATTGTAGGCATGAACCACCACACCTGGTTTTTTGTAGTGCTGGGAATACAACTCAGGACCTCTGGTATGCTAGACAGTGCCCTAACACCTGCCACATTCTCAAGGCTGCTGTCTTGAAAACAAAACCCAACAACAGCAACAACAGACCTGGGGAAAAAGATGGCACAAAACTGAGTTCCGGGGCTGGAGAGATGGCTCAGTGGTTAAGAGCGCCAGTTGTTCTTCCAGAGGACCTGGGTTCAATTCCCAGCACCCACAAAGCAGCCCGCTGTCTGTAACTGCAGTTCCAGGGGACCCAGAACTGTCACACAGGCATGCATGCACATAAAACACCACAGCACAGAAAATAAATAAAATAATTTAAAACCCCTAAGTTCCATATTTGATAAGACATTGTCATTGCCTTGTCTATTTTTCTTTCTTTTTCTCTTTCTTTCTTTCTTTCTTTCTTTCTTTCTTTCTTTCTTTCTTTCTTTCTTTCT